CATTTGAAATCTTTTTCATTATATGTAGAACATACAGTTACTTTTAATTAGAGCACCCCACTTCCTTACCATGCTCATTAACAGTGTTTGTTTCAGGTTAGACAGTGATATTGAACAGTAAGACTAAGTTATCCGGGGCTGGTGGACACATTAATTTCACAGTCTGCCCATAGATCTGAGAAGGTATATGAGCCTCACTGCGTTTTTCCAAAGGAGAAATATCGTGTGGCCCAAATGTTACCCCTTTACTAACTCAGTGCGGATTTCTTCCCAATGGTTAGTTTTTTCAATCTTCTTTTCACTTCTTTTAAAGCATATATTGGTTGGTTATAAAAAGAACGGCACCCTGGCTTTTTAATATTAAAAAAAGATAAAATAAGGACTCTAACCATTATATGTATTTAAATTACAAAGAAGAGACCCTAGGATTAGAAAAGTATCATTTTAAAATATGTTGAAGGACCAGTGAGATTCCAAAATTATTTTTGTGGGCTTTCTTTTGATCACATAACATATTATTTTTTATTACTTTATTGTAAAGTTTTCTGGCAGTGCTTATAATGTTCATATTTTATTATAGTCACTGTTCCTAGGAATTTATAACTCAACTGTTACAATTTGCCTACGGCTGAAACATGATCTACAGATGTTTGGCTTAGATATAATTCTCCAAACATAACTCATTTTTAAAGGCAATAATTAATATTAGATTGCCTGTTAATACGTGTTGGAAATATTAAGCACTTTGTTTTTAATCCTATACAAAAAAATGATCAGAAACATTACAGGAGCATGAACATTTAAAAACAACATTGCAGAATGGCAATTTCAAAACCAGAGTTGTTGTACTTTAAAAAGCTACATCTCCCATTTTTGATTGACCATGGATTAGGATAAGAGACTTCATTCATTATGTCAGACTATTATTATCTCCCTGATGACAATTTAACAGTTGGAAGTACAGAAACACAAAGAAACTCTATTACTAGATCCTGACCCACAACTTCACAGCCTCTTCTGTTTTCCTCGTAAATTTTTTTAAAGTGAGTTCTGCCATTCTGAAGTACCACTGAAGTATTTGCCAAACTACGTTGGTCCCTCAATAATTTACTTTTCTGTTGTTGACGTCGTTTTTTGTTTTTGTTTTTTTTTTTGCTTAGAGAATAGCAGCGATCCTTCTGCTGGCTCCCATTTTATGGCCTTATTCTTTTTACTGTCTCTGCTCCTTGTGAGCAGAGACTGCCTAGCCTCTCTCTCTGCCACTTCTGGATGCCCACCATCACAGCGTCAGACACACCTGGGGCCTGCGGAGCATATGCGAGGAAATGGGAGGGTTGGTGCCTAAATTCATGCCCATTCAGTGCATGCTTCTTTCTCACCACAGCCCATCAGGGATCTGGCCTGATCTAATGAGAAAACTTATAAATCCAAACTTCAGCATCGCTTACCACAGCCTACTGCCCTTTATTTATTTCTCTTGTTGGTCCTGTGCATCACTATTCACTTAGGTTAATTTTCTTATCCTATTAGTTCTGTTTTACCCCTCAGGGTTTTGTTTGTTTGTTTTTTATCCTGTCACACAGCATCTTAAACATACTGCCTCTTAACCTAAAAGGTACCTCTTGCTTCTTTTACCCTTTATCACCTTGGAACCTTATAAATATGGAAGCATCACAGGTTTATGCTGGTCACATGAAAACTCTGAACCATCATCATTTTGGTACCCTATCATTGTTATCAAATGACAGTCTTTGTATTTATTGATTAACTTCTCTACCGAGGTTAAAAAGAGAAAATCACACAGCCATGTAGATTGGGAATCCTTCAAAATCATGGTCACTAACCCCATGTGAATGCTCCACATGTCTCAGTCCCTTCCTTATTGTTTTACTCCAGAACTGATTTCAATGAAGGATATAACACACACATTCAATACCAAAATAATACAAAATTGTATTTTAATACCATTTGCAAACGTGAATAACACAAAATAATAAGATAATTAAGAGATATTTAGGAATTATGTAAGTTTTGAATTAGATTTCAAAAGAAATGATAAACATAATTGGCAAGAGAGAACTGTTAAGGTTGGAAGATGTTTCAAATGCAGACAGATAGAAAATGTAAAATAAAAAATCATAAGCCATCTGAAAGTAGGAGTAATTTCTTTTAAAAATATTTTCCTAATCACATATAAAATGATAATACTTATTGCAAAAACAGGAAAATGCTAACTATAAAAAAGATAATAAAAATCAACCATAGTCTAAATATCCAGGTATAGCCATTTTAACGTTTTGGTTAATATCATTTCTACAAAACTGTGTTTTGTATGCAGTAAGTGATTCATTTCTCAAGATACAAGCACCCTCAAGTTTTAGAACCAAACAGACCTGAGTTCAAACCGTACCCCTAACACTGGGTAGCTTTGTCACATGTCCATCTCTTTGGGCCCAAGTTTCCTCCTCTATCAATGAGATTAATAATTATTTTGTAGTGTTATTATGAGAATTAAGGAAGATGATGTATATAAAGTACCTGGTACATAGTAGATATAAAACAAATCATATTGCTATTTTGCTACTGTATTTAAGCTACTTCTATACATATTTTCTGAAGTTTTGAATACGTATTATCTGAATTACTGAGGCTTTTCAGTATTGACAAATTGAGACAACTTTAAACAGAATATTGATATATAACTTGTTTTATTACAGAGATGCTTGCTACAAACAAAATATTCACTAAGTTTCAGTTCTCTACAGGAACACTCAGCCAATCAAATCTTTTCATTATAAAAGTTGAGTTTTATTTTTTTACAACAATTTTTGAATAACTCCAAGTAAAGAGTTGAACTACCCCAAATAATTTAAAAATATGCAAATATGTAAACTAAATTCATTATTAGTAATAATGGCCACTGGATTTTGAAATTATTATTCTCTTAATAGCTATCACTAGTTGAGATGCTAGAGAGATATGAAGATTTCGAGCTCATTGGTTATATAGAAATATTGAGGTTTTGGTGTCCTAAAGAAGTGTAACTTCTGATAGACATGGAGTCTTCTACCATTTAGCTTATAGTTTTTTATTTAGTTTTTTGAGCCTGATTTCAAATTGATATTTATTATGGCACATTATAGGTAAATATTTGTTTTCAAATGAGAAATTACACTGTACTGCAAAATATTTTGAGAGAGGTAAATCCAAATATATTAGGATTTTGCAATTTTAGAATGTTATATCCATGCTGTGGGGGAGGCAGAAACTTTCTTCTACCCTCAAGGTTCTTTCTGCTGGTCTAATAATTAAATCCACATGAGACAGATTAACAAGAGAATATAACTAAATTTAATACATCTGTATACATGGGAACCCCACATACATGAGCAGTTAAAAGACAGAAAGGCAAAATGAGGTATATATGACATTCTGAGCTAAGGATCACCTTGGGGCTTCAGAAGGGAGGAAGGACTTTGCAGGATGATAAGAAAAGCAGGTGTTCAGTGATTAGTAGTTTTCCCTGCCACATAGATAGGTCAAAATAGGTTATCGCTGATAATTTCTTATTCTGGGCAAGGCCCCTAATTCAAATTCTTCGTAGTTAAAGTGGGCAGGAATCAGCATGGTCTTGGTTTCCTCTAGCTCAAAACACTCCACATATCACAGGGGCACATCCTGGGGTGACTCATTCTAAACTACTACAGTTCTTATTCTTTATTTGAAACTAATTGAGTTTACAACTGGCAAACTTTGTGATGCTGTAGATTTTTACATTAAAACATTTCAGTTGGGTGCTTTCCTTTTAAAATAATATTTCTGAAGAAAAATAAAAGCTTTATTCCAAGATAAATCCTTTGAATTCCAGATGGGACTTATGAGAAATCGTCAAACTATTTCATTATAGGGAAATAAATTAGCCAAATTTATTAATAAAAAATTAAAGATGAGGAAGTTTGTTAGTATTGTAGCCTCTGCAAAACTTTTTAGACAATTTTTCAAGTATTTTGGATTTATCCAAACTAAAACCACATTTACCTAAGCCTTTTTGGTAATATTTATTTCATGTATATTTCTTATAATTTAATGTTTAAAAATCTCTCTTTCATTTATACCATAATCATCAAAATACTTTATAAGCACTATTTTATATCCAAAAATAACATATCCCTAAATAAAATAGTTCACAATAGTTCACGTCCATCGTTCTTAGTCTATCTCATTACCCTGATTTTCTTGTCCTCATAGCACTTCTCACCATGTGATTTCATAAAATATACCTGTTTCATTGTTTTTAAAATCGACCTTCCCCACGAGAATAAAAACTCCATAAGGGCAGGGACTTTGACGTGTTGCAGCAATATCCCCAGCTTTTACAGAAGTGCCTGTTACTTAGCAAACATTCAATAAATATATACGGAATGAATGAATGAGTGAAGCTTTGATAGCGGGAGAATGCATATCTCTCTATAAGGAGCAGCATACTTAAGTTTTAGTCAGTTTTCGATACTTACGTTGACCGGGATGATAGAGCCACTCAGGAGAATGGTTTGCCTTTTTCATATATCAGTAGGGCCAGGGGATAAGACTTTAAAAATTCTGAGGTTATAATTTCCAAGTTAGTGTTTTGACAAGAGTGAGAGGAAGGTGTTAAATTCTCTCTGTAACCACCTTTGTTCGCAGTGGTCTATGAGGCTTTGTCATTTCCTTTGCAGCCTTTGGTTACTGTGATAAACAGCAGGATATTTAAGCACTCTCTGAGGGGTGCTGTTTTGTTCAGCTTTCAAACCCTAGAAAAGTGTGAAAATTAGGTCACACCTCGTGAAATTTAAATAACAAACCATTCTACTTCACTTAATAATACCCTAGTTCTACAGCTATATTTCATTTTGCCCAAAAATGGCAATTATTGTTTTTGCTTTAGTATCACAACTTGAGGTGGGGTTTTTTTCTTCTTCTTTTTTGGGGTAACTGACGTGTTTTCTATTCTTGTTCCACAGAATGGATTGGGGAGATGAATTTCCCCATAATTCTTTTGACCTACATTGTTTGTTAAATTCATTTCCTGGAGACTTGGAGTTTCAGCAGATCTTCAGTGACATTGATGAACAGATAGAACAAAATGGGACAAGGTAAATATTGCTAATCACTAAAACAAATTGGTTTCATGCTTCATTTACACAAACTTTAGTCTAGTTTTAGTGTGTCCTACGCTTAGTTAATTTTAGGTATTATCATTAATTTTGCTGAAAAAAATTGATGAGACCCTCCCTCTAAAATTTAACATGATTTTCCTTATCTGATTAGCACTTTAAATAAAACTAGAAAAAGTCCATTGAATTGCTGTTAATGATTATTAGAGTTTGCCAGTATTGATGGCCTGGATTTTCATTTATATGTTTACAGTTAAGCATTCTCATTTCATAGATGAGCACAGAATTTAAAATTTTTAAATAAGATTAAAATAAAATGGTAGTGTAAAGCCATGGATTGCTTGAGTTGCTGAAAACAGGACATTAAAATAAATTATTTTTATATAATGTTTATCATTTTACAACTCCTCCTGTCTTATCTGGAAGGCTAGGGACTCCATAGAGAATTGCTCTTCATCACCTAACTCCAAAAGTTAGTGCTACCATATACACTGGGGGAGCAGAGACAGTTAAGTAGTTTCCCAGTAACACATGTTCTTTGAATGAAAGGACTTTGTCTTCATATATATTTGTGGGCCCTTGAGTCAGTTCACTTACTTTTGGTCAAAGGTTCTAATAATTCAACCCCATTTGGGTTACAAATATGCAAACCATAATAAAAAATTTATATTGTAGGATGACAACATAGTATTTTTGTTTTTTAATTTAAGGGAGAGTTATATTGAATTGTCAAATAACTGAACTAAACAAGTGAAATGAGCCTATGATTTTTTTTCCTCATGGTTTATATGAGAATACAGTTCATTTTCATGATCATAAAAGTGGGGGTAGATAACTTAAATTCAGAAGATAGTGTATGTTGGGGAATTATAACTAAAAAGAAAATCTTCTACCATCCCAGAAATCTTCTTCACAAAGGCCGAAGAGAAAGAAAACACTTTTATTATTCAACAACCATTAAAACCAGAATGCAGTGCCCATCACAGGCCATCTAATAAGAGACTGCCAAGACAGAAAGGAATCTCACCCCTTTATATAGTCTAGCAGGTACAACCCATTGCATACGTGTTTTCAAGATAAACAATAACTAGTCCTCAAAGAGGATTTGACATTTTTTTTCACACATAGTTCTTCCTGACTTTATCATGGTTAAAGAACACAGGTGTTAGCTAACTGGCTTGATCCTGAGGAGAAACCAACTTTTCATATCTTTATGACAAGAAGTAGCTTTGCAAATTGGAACACGGCACCCACTGAAGTTAGGCCCCTCCTCTTCCACAGGAACTGGAAGATAAAGGAGCTATCTCCCTTGTTGTTTGCATTTGGAAAAGATGGCTCCCAGGTTCTTGAGAAAGACAGTCCTGGCTGAGAAAGCTAACCAAAGGCCTATCTAGTCTTCCAAGGGATATATTTCAAAGAGATGAAAAAGTGCTTAAAATTATAAGTTTCTAAGTTAAAAGCTTTAAGAAAAAGAAATGGATGGAAATCTTTTCCATTATATAAACAGAGAATTATGCCTCTATTTTTAATTTGTATTTGCCATATATATATATATATATATATATATATAAATTAAAAAATTTTATCATTAGATTTTATGTCTTGTTTTATATGTATATATATATATATTTTTAAAGATAGCATATATATATGACTTAACCATACTATAGAGTATATATAATTTATATTATATATAAATATACAATAACTATATTAAACTTTAGTGTAATTATGTAATTTATATATTATATATTTATATGGTACATGACAATGTTTCTAATTCAAAGGAAAGTATAAATGAAAATAGTTCTAGCTTAAATAGATTAAATCATCTGTGTAAATTCCAGAGATGGTTATGTTAAAACAAATTTTTAATACTTTTTTAAAGGGAGCCTTTTTCTTTCATAACCGCATTTAGGGTACCATCAAAACAAAACAAGTCACTGAACTCTAAGGCTTTTTGTTTATTTGCTAAACCATCTGTACTTAATTTCCTGCCCTACCTGGTCAATAAGAAATCATATTTAGAAGTAAAACAGTGATTAAAATATTGTACTTGGCATTCATACGTTGTTCTTTAGGTCAAAACTCAGATGTTAGTATTAAAAAGAAAACATGACATAGAATAGAAGGATGTAATTTTTAAATTAAAAATATTTTATTGCCCATATATTAAAACAAACCTAGAGCAGAGCCATCTCCGGTGACCATTGATCTTTACAAGGAATAAAATAAGGGTGTAGCTGTGTGTGCTGTATGCTACATTTAGAATCAAGTCTATTTTTCATCAAATTCAATTATGTTTTTATTATACTCTAGAGAATAAACATAATAGTATAGGGTGTATATATTTTTAAAAATAAAATACTGAATAATAACCATAGTTCAGAAGAGTGTAAATCATTTATGCACTCATTTATTGCCTTCTAACAGAATGGCTTTTAGAAAATTGTATGTCATGACGAATCAGTTATGCCACACTTACACTGCAGTAGTTGAATTACCTTTGGCATTTTTGTATTCCAACAGTTCTATTTATCTCTCAATGGTGTACATTGAATAAGTAATGAACATCTGTGTGATATGGGTTTTCCCAATACCTTAAAAGAAAAAAACATGAGTAATTCATTTTTAAATATGGTATTTTTCTTTACCCTTAAATTTTTAAAGTTGTATTTCTAGCAATGACCTTGAAATCTAAGTGTGAATTCCTTCCCTCCTCTTAATATCATCAGGTTTTATGGGCCACGGGGTCTGTTGCTTCCCCAAAGCAGTGATTCCCCAGAATGGACCAGCGTGCCCCGAGGTCACTGAACCTTCACCTGCCCTTCAAGAGAGGCTGGCGTTCTCTCAGACCATTTTCACTTTTCCACTCAAGTCAGAGCGTGGTGTCTCTTAGGTCTGACAGTGGAAATCAGTGAGAGTGAATCATTTGTTTTTAACAGGTACCAAAATTGGTAGCAAGAGGGTAAATAACCTACCAAAGAGGAATATATGAATGTTATATCCCCAGACTCAGTTCAGAAAAGTGCACATAGCACTGAAATAATTTTTAAGCTGAATGAAACCTATTATTAGTTTAGCAAGACATTGGGATATAGAAGTTCTCTTGGGCTCACAGTGCGACATAGGATGATTTTTCTCCTCTTGTTGTTCAGCTGGAAGGATATAATTTTATCATTAAGAGTTTATTTTACCTTTCTGTTTTCTAATTCTAGGAAACCTTTGTGTGTACCTCACAGGACATCAGTTTTACATGTACTAGTACAAGATTACTGCTTAAAAAAATTTTTTTTTAACCTAAAGGAAAAACAAGAAGTGCTACCTTAGATAATATAATTTGTCTGAATCCAGGAGATCTGTTGTGGGGGTGGGGTGGGGTTGGCATTAAACCTACATTGTGACAGAATGTTGGATACATGGTTTCTATAAAATTAACCATGCTTATTCATAGAGGATACATATTTCATAGATTGTACGTATTTCTTAATACACTTAATGTTTAATTTTTTTGAATTTATATTTGAATATTTTCTTTAGAGTTTTCCACATGATGGCCTAAAGGTCTGGAAGAAGTAACCAAAAGAAATCTTTTAATAAGCTATCAACTTTGGGTTTATCATAGCAGAACCATAAATCTGCCATGGACACACACACACACACACGCACATACACACACACACACACACACATACACATTAATGTATTTTATGACCAAAGCAAATTATATAACATGGAAGTTAGTTATTTCAAAGACTGTACTGTGTATTATTATTTCTGGCATTATTCTGGCACTTATTTAATAATAGCAAGAGGATACAAATGAATATTTGCTCTTTTTTTAACTTCCTGTGTTTGTATTCCTCTTTTGCGTTTCTCTATTTATTTGTACTCCATCTAATTTGCAGTCTTTCTTCCATTACTACACGCGTGTGTCCTTCCCTTCTTATGACCGTTGATCTATATGATAGCCTCTTAGAAGTTGTACACTGAGCTCTCACAAATTTGCTCTCCAGCAGTGCTGCCTCTGTCTTCTCTCCCATGGGCAGTATATGAGAATGCATGCTGATGTCCCATCACCTTACAATGCGACCATAGGTATTATTAAAACCCTCAGCTGTAACTTCCAGTCAAATCTGCTTTCTGACTTAGTGATTGAATTTATCCGGGCAATGGAGATAAAGGTGTAGAGTAGAAGCATTCTCAGATCTCCTCTGATTCTCATTATTACACATGCTCTCCTCCCTCTTTCTTTTTTCTATCTTTCTCTGGAAGAGAATCAAGGGAACTGGCACAGAGTTAATGCTAGTTAATACAGATTCACCACTTTTCTCCTGATTTTACTTTGTATGATTTTATGGGATAGACCATATTCTTACTTTAGTAATTGTGCTGAAAGTACTGAACAAACTACCACAGAGAAGAAAGGACATTAACTTATTCTTGCTTGTCATAAGTATTAAACTGCCATGTCCTTATATCCCTATAGAACATTTCTGGAAAATCCTATTCATATTGTTAACGTACCCCTGTGTCACTCACGTGTGTCTAACTCCCATAAGTACAGTCTATGAAAAGTGATCTCGACCCAGATGTCAATTTCAGAGGAAAAAGAAGAGATCTAATTGTGTCTTGGGATGTAAAGCCAGGCTGACTCTGGTCAGTTCCAGCTGTCTCTGGTACTGCCAGTATTACTCTGCCATTGACCGGAAGTCTGGGGAGTATTGCACAATTGGCTGACTCTTTTGAGAGCGCGTTAGATTTTGTATGTTGGCATCGTCGCACACTGAGTCTGAACTTTCTGAAAGCAGTCGAGACCATTTAAGAGCTTCTCCAAACTTTTGTGGTGAGGATTGGAGGTGTAAAGCAACAAATTACAAAGGGCCCTAACTCGAAAGTTTCTTTCATAGTATGATCCTCATAGAATAACTGAATAAAAGGAAGTTTAACAATAATAGTCTTGGGAGGTTATTAGTGTA